CTCTGCGACAAACAGTGCGACCGCGAACCAGTCTAGCCAGAGGCACTGACGGCAATTACAGAAAAGGGCAACTGCCGTCGGTCGGGTTGGATTTTCAGGGGCAGTACGGCGATTGATAGGGGCACCGCCGGCAATTGCCGTCGGTGCCGTCGGTTAATTCGAGCCCTGCCCAACACCATCTGAGAGATGGAGGATGCCCTTGTATAAACTGAACTTTACAGAAAACTGAACTAAGTGGATGGTACCGATGGTGGTCGGTATTCAGAGAGTTGACTACACGTATTTGTCTTTCAGTGAGTTTGAAGAGTACAGTATAGAGTTGGAGTGGGTTAAAGATGTCGTGACTGGCACGCTGATATTTGGAATGGTGATGGGAGCCAGCATCGAGTTCCGAAATGCCAAAGAACGGTTCATTCAACGTCATGCCGTTACAGTGTTCGAATCACAGTTTGATGCCAAGGTGAGTATTCAAGAGGTATCCAGCATTGATTACCCCCAATACAGTGCATTGCTTTCATCACACAGTTTGATAGCACTGTTGCAAGTATGGAACTTTCTGCATATATAGTCAAACATTCCTCTGCGAGGTTTGTATGTGTTGGTGGTTTGGCCTACCTGGCTCCACTGTTTTGCTGACACCTCGTGTATTATTTTGATGGAAAGTGAATCCCAATGATAAATGATAAGGGAGACACGTTACAGGTGTCACCAATTGTGTATTTAAAGGGAGAGACGAGGCTTGCACAGCCAGAGAGGCATAATCATGATAACTTGGTGCAATTTCATAACAATGTTGTACATCCAGAAGCTTTCACTGCACTGAATCATAAAATCATTCGAACTGTTTTTGTCAGAATATTGTGTATTGTTTGTTTCTCTGTTACGAATCTATCCTTGGAATCAAGTAAATATATGTGGCTGAATTTGTTCTAAAAGTTGGTTCTAAGCATTTTCCCTCGAGCAACACCGGGTACCCGGCTAGTAGATTGCTATGATATCTGACATACTACTGTGTCTGCTTGTGTAGAAGAGACTGCAGGATTACATCTCTACGAACATGCTGCGCCGCGGCTGGAAGCTTGCCTGGAGAATGGCTCTCTTCACCGGATCATTCTTGTAAGCACTTGTAAACCTCCATGTAATGATGTTGCGTTACCATGAACCTACATATTGATATGCTCACATAAGTTCATAATATTATCATAAAATTATATATAGTACAGGGTTTCTTCACAGGGAAAATTAGACAAAAGAGGTAATGGCCAGTTTGGGGAAAAACGCGCATGATGGATTCAAAGGCGTGCCGTAGTCGCGCTAATGTGCCAGAAGGGTGTGGTGATCTATTTATTTTTAGGTTGACACTATTTTGACAACAGCAGGTAAATACAGGAACATTTTCACAACGGCGGTGTGCCACTGTGTCTCTTATGTATAAGAAACCATGTAGTATGTATAGTATGTATATGTATAGATCTGTTCACGATGTTATTACAAATAACTATTGCTATGTGCACATAGGTTCATAATATTATAATGAAATTATATATAGTATATATATTAGTATGTATATGTATAGATGGGTTTATGGTGTTATGGATAAATGCTGGTATCACACTGGACTCACGTGGTGGCAGCACTGTACAAAATTAGCTGAAGATGTTTCAGAATTAATACTGGGTATCATTCAGATAACTTGGTTGGTTTCTACTCAACCTTGAGGTTCAAACGTACCTGCTAACGTTTCGCATCCTAACAGGAGGCTTTTTCAAAGCTGACCGATGTTTTCAAATTTGACCACAAGATGGTGTAGTGTGCACCATCTGGTGGTCAAAGCTATTGGGCCAACGAGCAAGCAATGGTTCAAGAACCCAAACAATATCCCCGTTTAATTGGCATCTCTGCCTTTGTAGTGTTGCGATTAATTCTGATTATTTTGTTATTTCTTTCAGTCTCGTTACCAACACTGTGTCAGCATACAGGAATAAGTCTGGTGTACTAGACTTTGTGGCAGGAGGAGGTAAGATAACACCCGCCTGTCTAGCAATACATTCGTTGTTACATTGTGGTTCCATTCCTTTCTAGCCATGCGATAGTATTTCCCAGTTCTCATTGTCAATAGCTGCCCTTATAGTTGGAAAATGTTGCCTTGCTTGTAATCTCAGATGGCATGTTTAATTAGAATAATGTAAGGTATGTGTAATTGTAATGCTGAATATGAATTAAAATGAATTAATTATTAATATAATTAAACGAGTAAAATGTTCGAAATTTTGTATGGTGAAGGATGGAGGGTGTGACGTGGGGAGCATTGATGTTAATGTTGTTTGTGCCACAGTGGCTGCTGGCTCACTCTACAAGGTCAACATGGGGATCAAGGGCATGTTTGCTGGTGGTGTGTTGGGTGGATTCTTTGGGTGAGTATTCATCTCTTGACACGTGTGTGTGTGTGTGTGTGTGTGTGTGTGTGTGTGTGTGTGTGCGTGTGCGTGCGTGTGTGAGCAGTGCATGTGCGCATTTTCATAGTTAATTGTGTGTCAAGTTTAGCATGGAATGGAGTTCTGTATTCGCTTGAGGCTTTCTCAGCGTAATTAAAAATACCTCAACTATGTCATCAGCTGTTTTATTGTAATCTCAAATTGCCGACTGCTGCATGACCAAATATATTTATAATGTATTTATGATGAATATTTGTCGACTTATTTATCATTCAGTGATTGATCATAAGCGTTGTCCTTTGCTAAAGAGCTAATCGATAGAGCTAACTTGGTTGAGTAGAAATCAACCAAGTTAGCTCTGTTATCAACCAACCGAATGAACTTATTCAAGGATTAATCTAACAGATGGATAGCCTCTGTTGCTCTTTGAAATGCCCGTGTCTGTGGAAGGGTAAGCTAGGGGCACATCTCTCTGTACTGCATTGACAGGCTTGTCGGCGGATCTGTGGCGTGGCTGACGATGTATGCGGCAGGAACAAGGATGGAGGAAGTCAAATACTGGCAGCGGATGATGAGAGATGATAAACGCGGGTAAGGCTGCGTTTACGCTACCGACTTTGTGTTGCCAAATTGCCGAATTGGACCAATTTTGCAACGATATATACAACCGACAATCGGCAGTGTAAACATAAAAGTTGCGCGAGCAACTGGTTAATAGCAACTAGTTGAGAGGTTAGAACATGTTCTATTTTCGCCAACTCTCTGTTGCCGAATTGCGAAATTTATCCAATTCGGCAATTTGACAACATATAGTCGGTAGTGTAAACACAGCTTAAGGTGTCACACAAGAGACCCTATACCTCAAACACAGATGTTAACGTCGCTCGTCATGGATCCGAATATTGATAATGTAATATTCAAGTCAAAAAGAATTCAATCAGAAATCGGTGAAATCAATTCTGTTGTAGTGGTCATCCGTCATCAACTCTTCTTTCTTCTTCTTCTTCTTTCTTATTTTTTTCTTCTTCTTCTTGTTTTTCTTTATCTTCTTTTTTCTTTTTTTTCAACAGCTTTTCCTGCTGAAATGCTCAGATTCGCTTCAATTTGGTTGACGTTAGATAAATTTTCCATCGTTAAATTAGTGTTTTATTCTGTAAAGCCGTACGCACACGCATACCTGTTCTCTGACATTTAAGGCTTTGCAATCTGTGTTTAAAATGTTAGACGATTTGCCACTAGGTGGCAGCAGCTTGTGGCATTGCTGAACTGACTGAAAGTCAACGTTTCCCTGCATCTTCTAGGATTAGTACGATGAAGTACGCAGAAAATGAAGCCAAGAAACGCATGGAACGGAGAAATGGTTACGAGGACTTTCGTGATGAGTTACTGCAGCAGCAGGAACAACAACAGCAACAACAGCAGCAGCAGCAGGAACAACAACAGCAGCAACAGCAGCAGCAGCAGGAACAACAACAGCAGCAACAGCAGCAGCAGCAGGAAAAACAGCAGTAGCAAGAGGAACAACAGCAGCAGCAGCAGCAGCAGCACCAGGCTAATGCTGTGAAAACACAACTCGACATTATCAAATAGTGTGCCAGCTGTGTTGGCATTGTCAACCGTTACATTGTAATGTCTGGTGAATCATTAGCAATTACAAAGGTTTTTTATAGATTGTTTAGGTTACATGCAGTTTTTTCCTACATGTATATGTTTATTCTACGTACACGTGTGCAGACGCACGCACACACACGGGCACGCACGCACCTACGCACGCATTGCTTAGTAGTGCATATGATGGTCATGTACTAATCAACACGTGCTGTAATGATCCAATTTTCATTTCCCCACAGTGGCGTAGCTAGGATTTTTTCAGCGGGGG